AACCTGTCTTATTATTACCATCCATATTAAATTTGTATTTGTGGTGTGGGCAGTCATAACTACGTTTACACAACTCTATCATGCTCTCTGTATCTTCATAGCAAGCCATTGTGACTCAAAAACGAGACTAGAACTTAGTATCACACATTTTTATTTACAAGAATGTCACATGGTTAACCCTCTGGTCTAGTAAATTCTTTACACTTGTCACAGTCACATGGCGGTTTATTCACTTCTCTTTGTTCTAAAACCTTAATGAAATCCAGAAGAGCCTCAAACATACGGTTTCTCTTTTCCACATATTCTGGTTCATCATCTTCCTCCTCACATGTTGTGGCTTAACATACGTCTATAGGCATCTTCATCTGCATGTACCTCAATCAGATATAAAATTTCATCAATATGCTGGAGCGCCCATTTTGGAGTACTTTCGATATCACACATGATCTGCTTGACACAAACGGTGGTTTGTACTACACTCACAGCATTTGAAACAGTGGTATATACACTCTGCAACTGCTGACCTACTCGTAGGTAGTAAAGTTTCTAAAATTATCCATCATAGCATCATTTCCTTTTTTAAACTGAATGTACCTAATAAAATCCACATGGGATTCCAAGATATGCGTTTTCTTTTCAAAAGACTTTTCATCTGCGATTTGTAACTGTACCATGGGTTCATGTATGTTTTGTTACATGTGATCCAAAGCCCCTTGATCTGCTTCGTGTTCGATGATTTCTATCATTTCAAAAATATGAGCTAAAGCCCATTTTGAATGCCTCTCCACATCACATGTGTTGACTATGATGACACCTGGGACCCTCTTTGATTTCTTTGATCACCTGTAGCTGATGGTGGCATCTATGACACTGAAATCACTTCAACAGTAGTCTAGGGTATGTGTTCCACAACAAGAATGAGGTAGAACGCCGACCATAAGAATTGTATCATACAAACTGATAATTAGGAGGTCCTTTTGAGGTAACACCCACAAGCACATTTACGGGATTTCAATAGGTTCTTCATGATGAAGTGTATGTAAATAATTAGGACAGTGCAGGCAACGTATTTGTGGATAGGGAGTGAAATACCTACAACTCTTACATTGATACCACCTCACGAGAGGTTCCCACCACTTGACTGTCTTAAGTATAGCTATACCTTATCTTATCCACACACAGATTCTTATAGTTTGACTTCGTGACATTTTTTACCACATACCAGGCTATTTTGTGACTCCTACACCACACCCTATAAAATTTCATAACTCTATCACCACATACCTACCACACTACTCCAAGGCGTATGTGTAAAGTTAATTTTCAGTTATGCACATGTGCAGGATATAGCAAAAGTCTCCCACATGGATGGGATTTCAGGTAACGTTTCATATATAAATCGAACCAACAACCCAACACATCACCTACATATATGTCATGAATACTAATGAATTCTCTTTTGAACCCACACCCACACCCACACTCGTGTACCTACACGTTATGAATACTAATGATGTCTTAACCCTACTCCGACATCTTGAATCTTATTATTACTCAAACTCGGACCCAGCACTTTGCTACAGCCAATTCGGACCCTCTATGCTACCGTTGGCCAAGATGGCAAGTTGTAATTTTAGTTTGAGTTCTGCAGATCATATAGGAGATACATTAAAGCAAATGTTCCCAGAAAGTAAACTCATAGCAGGGTTCAACTTAAGCAGATAAAGTCTTTCCAATAAGATTGGTGAAGGATTGGCACCTTGTTTAAAAACAGTCATTATAAAGGATGTGAAGAAATCTAATCTTCCCTTTACCATGCACTTCAATGAAACAACCACTGCTCAGGTTAAAAAGCAAATGGACTTGACACTCCATTACTGGTCACCTACTCACAATGAAGTTTGGCTTGCATACTACACATCACTCTTTTTCGGTCATGCTGAAGGAGCCAAAGTGGCATCACGGATGTTCGGTCAAATGAAGGATGATGGAATTCCTATGGGCAAACTAGTTGCACTTGCTCGAGATGGCCTATATGTAAACAAAACTATTTTGAATGAATTCCAGCAAATGATTAAAGATGATTATCCACAGTTTGCTGGTTTTGTTGATATTGGCAGTTGTGTACTTCATGTTGTGCATAATGCCTTTGGGAAAGGCTTAAAGATATATGGCAAGGAAGTAGATCAGCTTTGTTGGGATCTCCATGCTATTTTCAAGAATAGTGCTGCAAGGAAGGAAGACTACCAGTAACTACAGTTTGACATGGAAGTTGACTTGCCCACATTCCACCAGCACACAGAGGTACATTGGCTTAGTATCAGTCCTGCTATTTCTAATATTATGGAACAATGGGATGCTATATGCCAGTTTATTGGAGATCAAGGAAAGAATGAGAAAACAGTACTTAAAAGCATCAACTAAAAACAGGTGGCAGCAATGCCTAAAGAAAGAGAAAAGGATGCAACCAGAGTTCTGCTTGAATTTTTGAAAAGTAATTTTCCCCTGTTTAAAGAATTTCTAACTCTCTTCCAGAAGAGTACTCCAACCATACACTTGGTTTATGACAGCATCTGCCTAACCCTTCTCAAAGTAATGCGAAGGTTCCTGAAGCCCACTGCACTAGAAGGCAAATATGGTGCTACACTACGTTCTGTTTCCTGTGAGGATGTCAAGTTACAGCTTACTGACAACGAACTTGTCAAAGGTGATCTAACCAGAAAGGCCTTAACATGTTTGAATCCCGCAAAGCAGAGGCTGGCTATTCTCAGCATTAGAGCATTTTATGTTACCACCGTATCCCACCTTCAGTCACGGTTACCCCTAGGAAATAAGCTCTCGAGAGACCTTCGCTGCCTAAATCCCCTCAAAAGGCATGGGAAATCCACAGATTCCTCCATCCAGAATCTTTCTAAGAATTTTCAGCCTCAGCTAGATGTCTCATCTGTGCTGGAAAAGCAGATCAAGAGGTATCTGAACTTGATACTAATCAGCAGGTTGATCATTACTGGAATGCTGTGTTCCAGCTGAAGTCAATTGATGGTAACAGTCGATATCAATGTCAGCCCCTAGTGATCAAATCTCGACTTGTATTTGCCCAAACAAATGCTGAGTCTGAAAGCAGTCTGTTGATAAACGCAAGAGTGGTCACCAGCGAGTGGTCAGCACTGGAGAAGTGACAATTACAGGTTTGCACACTATAAAGGAGGCAGTCCTAACCCTAAGCAATTATTAGGTTTTATGATCCAGTTAATGGTCAACCTGAGAACATTGCAATCACAGAAGAGTTGAAGAGATGTGTATGATCAGCTCATGCTCGTGCTCCTGCATAGCAGGCATGACTAAAGGCAGAAAAACTAGAAGATGAGAAGAAGAGGGAGTAAGCTGAACAAAATAAGGAGGCCAAAAGAATACAGAAAGCTAAAAAAGAGATGGCTAAGTCAAGACATTCCCTCCAAGATAGTGAGGATACTCCGATGCACGAGGAAGAAGTCGTGAAAGCAGACTTGAAAGCAGCTGATGAATTAATGAGTAATGCAACATCAAACCTACATGATGCCCTTTCAGGAACAGCTGTTAACGTACAAATTGTCAATGTAGCCACAATGATTCTTCACACTGCTGAGACCAAGTGAGACCAAGCAATGCAAAGCTTGGAGAAAATAGGACAAAAGAGAAAACTGTTGACTGACAAACAACAGAAACTGTTAGAAAAGGCCATGTCCTCAACAGCAAATGCTGCCAAAAAAAGAGCAAAGCTAAGGTTACCCGATCTGCTAAAAGAGTGAAAACACTATTAATAGTGTTGGACTTTTGGGTTGTTCATGTTCAAAGGTCGTGGTTGGTTTTTATTGTAAGGAAGACATACATTTGGTGACAGCGAACTTTGATATTGTTTCAGTTTGTCAAAAAAATTATTCTTACTTATCATTCTCACAGTTTTAAAGGACTAATGACTTAAATTAAAGGCATCTTGTGATGTATCTAATGAAATTTGGAATCTGGTAATCGTTGTAGGATGAGTTATGCTTGGTAACATAGGTGGTAGCACTTGTTTTTGTTTATACCGCAACACATTGTGGATGTATGCCATGGTGCCTGTTACGTATTGAAGCATTGAGTTGTGGAACAGAGTTGCTGTTGGGAGTGGTAAGAGGATAGAACTCAAAGATATCTTCTTATTTTCCTATTTTGGGGTGAGAATTTCTATTTATTTCCTATTTTTTGACCACCGCCATTCCTATTTTTCCTATTTTCTAAGTGTCATTGGGCATCTGACACCCTGAAAATGTTATAAGCAAATACAGTCACTAAGGTTTCTTTGTTGTCTCAAAGGTAAAACAAGTTACCCTAAAGAGATATCAGAGGCTTTAGAGGGGTCAAATGCTGACAGGAAGAGTCTAGCAAAAGCTTGTTATCAACGAGCCAGCTGAGCGAAGATGCAAGGCCGGTGAGATGGCAGCATTATAGAGCTGTGCGAGAGTACTGTGTGAGCGGAAAAAATCTCAAGTGATTGAGAGATATGTTTCTAAGGTAAGATTCCTGAGATTCCAATGATGTAAAGGAAATGAGGTAGATTGTCTTGCAATGGACCAATCATAGTGCGCAGAGATTGTGACATCAAGCCCACATGGTTCTGATTGTCGATATTCAACAGCTTTGGCATGCATTGAGTGGAGCTGAGATCAAAGTTGAGGTAAGAAAAACGTAATTTTCACCTGCTTATGTAAGTTTTATTTGTTTTTATTTCCAATTCTATATGAGTGTACTTTAGCTAAGTGCCATTGTGGTATATTTATCGAGCCACCAAGCTCAACAATCTGCCAGCAAGCAAAAAGATTACCTGGCCAGTGTGCCAGATTTGGCCAGCGCGCCAAATCTAGACAACGCCAGCAGGCATAAAGCAATCAAAGTAGCTGAGAAACCTCTTTAAACTGAATTCAATCCAAGCAAAGCTAAAACAAATGACAACTGTCGCAAACTATTGGCCAGCGAACCACACGAGAGTAAACTCGACATTGGCCAGTGAGCCAACTTTGTCACCACCAGCAAGCAAAAAGCAATCAAAGCCACTGAGATTTAACTTAACATAAGCTTAAGTCGATCAAATTCAAAGCAAACCTAATGTTTAAGCAGCGAGCGTGCCATGGAGAGCTAACAAGCTACAATAAACAAAGTACTTTTGTAAATCAACGATCAGCTTAATCATTTCATTCCACTGTTGTCAAGCATATCATGTGTTTTTCGAACCACAGTAAATAGCATATATCATCATCCTTGGTGAAACATGGTTAAAGGACAATCCATTGTTGATGGAATAAGTCACCATTCCTGGATTCAACACTGAGTCCCACAGTCGAGACACCATAAGAAGTGAAGGAGTCAGTGCAAACATAAAGGACACAATCAAATGCAAGCATAGGTGTGACAGAGAATCTTCTCCC